GCGAGCAACTCAATGGTTATCTCTCAGCAAGCTCCCACTCTTGCATCCGAACAGTCCGGGGTACTCTGACAGCTCTTTTGATTGCGCACCATGTCCTCCCCTGCTCTTGAAACCATCTCTTCGCCGCAGTCGCTCACGACGGGCACCAACGGTTCTGCCGCCGCGACAGGGTAAGTATTGCGCGCCATTGTTCCAGTCAGCGGGCCTCATGAACTCCGTTTCTTGCTGTAGGGCATCGCAGGATGCGTTGACCGAGCTGAAGGCACTCGCCAACATCATCCAAACTTCCATCAAACAAATCGAGGAGGCAGTGGTCCAAAACTCCTTAACATTGCCTTCCTCAGAAGTGCCGTTCAGCCTCGAGACCGAGGCCGCGCGCATGCACCCCCGTGTCCAGTCGGCAGGGTCACTAATCACATCCGCAGCGGCGCAGCTTATGACGCTCGTGAGACCAGCGCCTGTCACCGTCCTCGACACCGTGATGCAGGTGAGCCCGCCCAAGTGACAGATGATGCCTCGTTGTTAATACACCCGCTATGAAGTTCCACGTCTCGACTGCTATCCGGACCGCCTTGAGTGCACACGTCGCGGAGATTCTCCGCGACGCAGGGCCATTGGTAATAACCGCCCCTTCCGTATCCAGCCGTCCCTAATCTATCGCCCATAGGGGAAGCATGCCCGTGATATCGCGAAGCCGACCAAAGTCCACCCTGGAAAATTGGGTATGTGCTTCCCCGGAGGTGTCATTCCTCCTCCTTACTCAAAGCTGTTAGCTCGGATCCTCCGCTTGCTCTCCACGAACTATATTTTCACCGAGGTATCGCCCGATGTGTTCGCCAACAACCGCCTGTCATCTGTCTTGGATACTGGCAAGCCCATCGACGAACTATTGGCGAAGTTGGTTTCGCGCGCTGTCTTCGGGAGCGGCTACTGATTGACATTCTCTAGCCCCGAATCGAAATATGTTGGGACACTCGGCATCACATCGCTCATGGAGCACGTGTATGTGATCTGCGGGCTTCACATGTCAAGGATCTGACATTCTATACTAGTCTCGATGAAGGCTTCAAGGCCTCGTCGTACTTGACTGAGACTATCCTCGACCCAAAGACTGGGCATGCTTATGAGGTCAACAAGACCGCCCTGAACCGGGCTTTCAACGTTGAAGAAGATTTCTGGGAATGGATTGAGGCTCCCGGCAACAGGTTGCGACTGGCAAGGTTCGGGTCTGCGATGAGCGGAATAAGGAACATGGCACGCCCGGACGAAATCCTCGAAGGTTCGTTCTATACCCCACAAGCGAATACGTATTCCCGTTTAATTATCTACATGCAGGATATGCATGGAAGGACCTGCCAGAGGGTTCCCTCGTTGTTGATGTTGGGGGTGGCGTTGGCTCGCGGACTCTGACACTAGCAGCGAACCACCCGCACCTCCGGTTCGTCGTCCAGGATCGTCAGCAAGTAATTCCCGATGCTGTCGAGGTATGTGCAACCCTTACTCTTCTTACGTATTTCTATGCGCGCATTCCTGATGAAGATACCAAATATAGTACTGGAAGAAGAATATGCCAAATGCTCTCGAGTCGGGCAGGGTAAAACTCCAGGGTACATTCTACCCTCCTGCCTCCATCCTCAAACTAACACATGATGTTGAATCTCATCTAGCCCAAAGCTTTTTCGATCCACAGACCAAGCCGGAGACGGATGTGACAGTCTTCTTCCTTTGCCAAGTCCTTCACGACTGGGCCGACGAGTACTGTCTCACTATATTGCGGCATCTGCGTGCTGCCGCTGGCCCCAAGACGCAACTTCTCCTCGTTGATCAAGTGATGTCCTGTGCTTGCGATGAGCCGGCCACGCATGAGATTCCTGGCGCCGAGCTTCCACCACCGCCCAAGCCACTGCTCCCTAACATGGGGCGCGCAGGTGGCATGACGTACAACACCGACATCATGGTGAGCGTTCCTTGTCTGGAGTCCAACCAATAGTAAAGGCTGACACGGGACCTACAAGATGATGGGCTACTATAACGGCCAGGAACGTACTGTTACGTATCTTCGAGACCTTCTTGAGAAGGCGGGCTGGGATCTGATTTCCGTGCAACACGACGCACCAACACAGATTAGGCACACAAAGGTGATCGCTGTCCCTCTGTAGATGCGCCAGCACTAGAATTACGTACGGTGTTTTTGTATGATTATAAGAGCCAGACAATGTTGCTTCAAGCTTCGGTGGGATCAGTGTGTCCCCAGGATCAGCTTCAACTGCTGGTATTTTGCAACAACAAAATTCACTCTCCACATCGTACAGATTTGTGCGGTCGTGTTCTACCCATCATTACCGCTGCGGCGCATCTACGGCTGGCACTGGGGTAGTGCTTTCGGTTTCATTCTGTCCTTGTTACAGGCGGAGCAGACACTGGATAAACACTAGATGCTCGCGTCAGAAGAACCTGAGACGCGATACAAAGTGAGCCCGACATAACATTCCGATCGTCTGAGCACAACAGGTCCAAGTGGCTACACCCTGCTACACCGCACACGGACCAGCACAGCTTTGCGGGGCCCGCTGACCCCGCAGGGAATATCTCGGAATCCCGACAAGGCAGTTCGGTCAGAAGCTGTCGTGTGAGATGATGACGACGTGCCGTCCGAGTCGGGGCCTAGCTCGGGGATCTTCGCGCGCAGTGTCCGATGTCACCGAGACGTAGCCACGGCACATTGAGTATGGATAAACCACAAAAATTCGCTTTTGCTCGAGGACGAATATAAGGGGTTTCGTAGCAGAAAATGCTGGGCATCGCACACTGCAGACGAACACATGGATTTGGTTCGCCCATCTCGGGATACCTGAGATGGCTTAAAATTGTTCCATCGTTCAACAGCGCCAGATGCGCGATTTCTAGAAGGAGCACGAGAAGAAGCACATACGGCCACCATATTGTAGTATTTGCTGACTGAGAAAGGCAGGACACGCGAGGACCGATGCTCAGAGGCGGCCGGCGACAAACGTCCAGGTAGTTCCGGAACGGGAATCACATGAACATACGATAGTATTCCGCGGTCCGTGATCAACCATTGACAAGAGCTGGGACTCGCAACTACTCGCAACATTCGTTACCTGGAGAAAAATTAGAAAGGGTGTTTGGTCTCTGCAAGTCTCTACACCGAATTCGCAAGGGGCTGAGGCCGAATCGGTGGTGATTGGGAGAAAGGAAGAGTGGTGAGGGTGATTGGCGTTTGAAAGCACCGGCCAAGCACCGGCGTCAAACGTGCCGCCCAATCGGATCTGGTTTGGTTCTGTTCGAATGATCCAACGCGGGGAGTAGCTGAGCCCGCCTACTACCTTCAAAAGGCTACGAGCGCTGTCTCCTTCTCACCACAACTACTTTATCCTCCATCATCAATCCACACACAATGACCTCCGTCGACCAGCTCGAGACACTCATTGGGCAGGAGTATGCCAGTGACCCCGTACGTCATTTCCCCGTGTTGGCTCGTCATCACAGACGCTTATCCCGTGATATGTTCAGGTGAGCTGGAACAAGCGCGATCTCCTCACATACGCCATTGGAATCGGTGCTAAGGCCAACGAGCCCCAGTTCGTCAATGGTACGAATATAGCATCTCTTCCGCATGAAGCGCAGCACATATCTGACCACCTTTCTCCTTCAGAATCTGGTTGGTTGATCTGCTCCTAACTGTCCGTCCAAACCGCTAACGGCGCGACGACCAGACCCTGAGTTTGCCGCTTTCCCCATCTACCCCGTTGTCCTTTTCCTCAAAGGTATGCGACATCATCTCGACAATTTCGACGCATCCTGACATCCTCTTCAGGGAACGACGAAGATGTGGTGAACTTTGCGCAGCGCGCCAAGATGAGCAACTCTATCAAGGGCCTGCCCAACTTCGACCCGAATCGTGTCGTGCATGCGTCACAGACCATTGAGATTTTCAAGCCCTTGCCTTTGGTCAGTGGACCTGGCTGGAAGCTGAAGAAACGAATCGCAGCCATCCGCGAGAACAGTATGTGCAATGTCGGATAGTTCGCCGCATCATCGTTGACGCCCTCTCCAGAGTCTGGCGTTATCATAGAGAACGAGTTCGAGCTCGTCGACCCCGAGGGCACCCCCTACGCACGCCTTTTCGTACGTCGTTTGCCTTAGCCTGCCCTTCGTGCCTTGTCTCATCCGCACCCCCAGTCTGCGAGCTTCAACCTCGCGGCGAAGATCACCGGCACTCGCTTCGCGCGCAGCATCTCCTCGCCACCGCAGGCCAAATCCATCCCACGCGACCGCGCACCGGATTGGGTCGTCTCTGACCGCACCACCCTCGAGCAAGCGCTCGTCTACCGTCTCTCGGGGGACTACAATCAGCTGCACATTGGTACGCATGCCGTCTTCGCCATTACTCTCCACAGAAACTCACTGGACTCCGCAGACCCGCGCATCGGCGCTGAGGCAGGCTTCGGTGGCGTCATCCTACATGGTCTCGCGACGATGGGCTTCGCAGCGCGCGCGGTTGTTCGCTCTGCCGGGGGCGGCAAGGCTTCGTCGCTACGCTACTTCGGTGTGCGCTTCACTGCGCCTGTGAAGCCGGGCGATGTCCTTGAAACCTCGGCGTGGGAGATTGGCCCTGGTCCAGACGGCACGACTGAGATTGCGTTCGAGGTGAAGAACGCGACGACCGACAAGGTAAGCGAGGTCGTTTATTTTTGTGCCTCCGCGTGATACTGATGAGCACGTTGATCCAGGTCGTTATTGGTGGTGGTCATGCACGTATCGTAAAGCCAGGGCGCACTAAGCTTTGAGTAGTGTTGCACTGTATCCATAGCATATATTTATCCCATTACTTCATTCTTCTGCAATATTCATCGATCATCCCTTGCACCTATTCAACGAGAGTCGAGAGTTACTCACTTCACCAGTAGGGATTCCCTCTGTGGTGATCGCTGGGAAGCGCCCGCGGTCTTGGAAGCACTGTGTGGCTACACAGCCACGCTTGCTTGGCTCAGCTGGTTAGAGCGCAGGTCTCATACTTCGATATGAGCGGCCACATGGCCGTGCAATCCTGAGGTCGTCAGTTCGATCCTGACAGCGAGCATTTCCTTTTTTCATCCGCGCAAGCATCACTTTTTCATTGCACTGCTGCTCAGGCTAGTCTTACAAGTACACTGCATTTACTTCTCACTTCCCTATCACATCAGCCAACTGTGTCTTCGGAATGGCAGCGGGGAACGCAAGCCGCTTCAGGCGAGTGTGCGTCGCCTGCTCGTACGCAAACGCGAGGCCCACTAACTTGAACTCGCTGAAAGCCGTACCCATGAATGATAGTCCGAATGGCAGTCCAGGTGCATTTGAAATCGTCGGCCGCGCAGGTGTTGCGGTTACGTTGTCGGGCTGGAACCCGAGTGGGACAGTGACGACCGGGTAGCCCGCGATTGCCGCAGGCGTCGAGGTGAAGCCTGTGTACGTGAGTTGAATATTCGATCCATATAGGAAGTAGAACCGTGCACCGTACCATCTGTGGGAATGATGATTGCATCCAGTTTGAACTTAGCCAGCGTGGCGTCGATGCCGCGGGTTTGGCCAAGGTCACGATCGGCAGCGAGCGCCGCAAAAAAGGCTGCATTTTGAGTGGTGTTCTCAGCTCGGATGAACCTGTGGCACGAGAAGTCGGTCTCAGATGCAGTACAGGTTGGGAATGGCAGGCTTACTCGGACTGATCCGTCCAGAAGGGAGGGATGAGCTCCTCCGATGCATGCGCCGTGTTGAATGCAATGAGGTCTGCCAGTGTCTTGACCCCGGTGGGAACCTTGAGGAGCCCTTCAATGTAATTTTGGACGTCAACCTTTGGTAATTCATGTCAATTCCGGATCCTATAGCGGGCTGCAGCAATGGTACCTTAAAGTCTGCATCGAGGACAAGCGTCTCATTGTTCGACGCTAGCATCTCCTCGACATCCGGGAACTCTGCAGGATCTATGATGGTGGCCCCGAGCTTCTTGAGCGTGAGAAGCGACGCATTAAAGGCACCGTCGATGTTTGGGTCGCCGCTCAGGAAGAGTCTAGGCACACCTAGGCGTACGCCTTTCAGCGCGTTCGCATTGAGCGCCTTGGTGAAGTCAGGCACGTGTGCTGGGGCCGCAAGGGTGAAGTTATCCAGCAGGTCACGACCTGCGATCACGGTGAGGATGGTGGCTGCGTCTGCAACGCTGCGTGCCATAGGGCCGACGGTGTCTTGATGCACGGAGATGGGTATGACGCCCGCACGGGACGTCAGTCCAACGGTCGGCTTGATGCCAACCAGGTTCTGCCGACTACTGGGCGAGATAATCGAGCCGTCCGTCTCACTCCCGAGCGCAGCAGCCGTCAGCCCGATCGCGCTCCCTATGCCCGATCCGGACGATGATCCCGATGGGTCTGCGAGCGGGAAGTATGGGGAGCTGGCCTGGCCACCGCGCCCAGAGAATCCGGAGGGTACGTTGCCACGAAAATGAGCCCATTCTGAGAGGTTTGCCTTTCCCAGGAGGATCGCGCCTGCCGCCCGCAGTTTGGCTGCGACGGTGGCATCGCGTGGCGGGATGGAGCCGAGAAGAGCGAAGGAGCCAGCGGTCGTGTTCATACCTACGTAGAAAGATGCTCAGCACCCGTCCATGATGACATTTGAGAAGGAATGCTACCATCGCTTGCGCGCGTTGCAATGTTATCCTTGAGCAATATCGGAATGCCGTGCAGCGGTCCACGTGGGCCTTTGAGCTTGCGCTCAAGGTCAAGGTCAGCAGCCTGCTTAAGTGCACTCGGGTTCGTCTCGATGACTGCGCGTAGCGTGGGACCTTGAAGATTGACCTCATCAATGCGAGCAAAGTAAGCCTGCGAGGCGCATATAAGTTGTAGTATCAGCAGACGGGCACATGCCACGGCCCACAAGTCGCGGTCGCACCTTGACAAGGTCGACGCTCGTAAAGTGGCCTTTCTCTAGACCATCCTGCAACTCTGCGATAGACGCCTCATAAAGGTCTGGCAGGGGAGCACGACGCTCAACAGAACTCCCAGCTCGAGCCCCACTTGAAAGGTACTGCAAGACGAGCAGCACCAGGAAAACCCACAATACCCACGCGCGGTTTCTCTGCATGCTAGAGCGGTCGTGAGAAGCGGGAGGTAGACCCATCGAATCCCATTCACTCTCGCCTCGAGTCTTATAGTAGGGTAAATTCAATGACGCATGGCCATGACTTATCAGCACCGGCAGTGCGGGTGCTGAGAGAGCGCCCTCTCACCATTTTGCAGCATGACCGTGCAAGCCATGCGCAGACCGGGAGTGATAACGTATACTGCGCCGAAAGAATGGTGTGGATTCCCAGCCCGCGAGCGATGCCGTCCTTCGCTCAAGCCAAGCTGCTACGCGTTCACGATACATATACCATCAGAGTCCGAGACTCATGAACCAGTACGCGACACCAAGCGCCATGTGTGGGCTGCGCGCGAGTGGCAGGACCTTTGGTTAGAGTAGTAGGCAGCATCGCTGTTAGATGCAGTGCTATGTGGGATTATTACCGCATGGTTGCGGTGGGAGTTCAAAAGAAGACGAATACCCGGAGCGGAGCACCTCGGGACACCGACGTCGTAGCACACGTGACTCGTTGTTCGCCCGCGTCATGAGAACGAGAAATAAAATGAGAAGCCTTAGAACGTAGCTGTTGGAAGATGTCATGCATGTCATGTGTGAGCGTACGAGCGGTGGTACACGGTTCAGCTAATTATACATAGATAATGTACGGAGTATAGGAAATTGTACGGGTCCAAGAGGGTATGTGTTCGAAATCCATGACCGATTCTCCGAGCGGATCGACTATAGCTTGGCTGCCACTGGCTTTGCGATGCGTGCGTGACCACCACCAATCACAACCTGAACGTAAAACAAGATATCAGGTCAACTAGAACGCGGTTAGAGAATAGGAAATCGGCGCACCTTTCCCGTTCTCGTATTCTTCACCTCGAAAGCGACCTCAGTCGTCCCGTCAGGACCGACCCCAACGTCCCATGCGCTAGTCTCAAGCCCGTCCCCGGGCGAGACAGGGGCGGTGAACCGCACGCTGATATAACGCAGCGAGGACGCGTTCCCACGTCCAACGGCGCGCACAAGAGCGCGGGCGGCGAAGCCGAGTGTCGCCAAGCCATGCAGGATTACACCGTTAGAGCTGGCCTTGGGATCTGTTATGCGTAAGGGTGAGGCTCGTTGAGATGGAGAAGGCGTAAGCACATACCGATGTGCAGCGGGTTGTAGTCACCCGAGAGGCGGTAGATGAGGGCTTGTTTCTCGGTAGTCTGATCCGAAACGACCCAGTTGGGTGCTCGGTCGCGTGGTATGGATCTCGCCTCAGGTAGGGAAGAAACGCTGCGCGTGTAACGTTGTCCGGTGATCTTCCCTGTAAGGTTGAACATGGCGGACTGTCGAAGAATGTCAGTACAGCGAAAGCGTCATAGTGGGATTGCGCACGGTAAGGCGAGCGTAAGGTGTTCCGTGGGGATCAACGAGGGTGAATTCATTTTCGAGGATTACACCCGACTCTGCAGAGCACTGTGAGCTACCCGCATACGAACATGAAGCGGTTATTCACGTACTGTTTTCACGAATTGCAACTATACGCTTCTTGAAGAGCCAGCCCGGGCCGCTGACAAGGGGTAGCGGCTTCAGGATCTCTATGGATTCTGAAGCGTGCAGGAGGTGTTGTGGGTCGAAGTACGGCAGCCCATCGATATAGTTTGTGAGTTTGAGGCGCTCCGTGAACTCCACAACCTCCTCGTCTGCGCCTGAGCTCAAGGTCAGCCTTAGGGGATCGGGGGCACAAATGAATGAGGCGTACCCTTGAGAAAAAGTACAACGGGATAGGTCGGGAAGGCAGCGAAGGCGGGGTCTAGAGGAGGATGAGCCGCGCGTACGTATGCGTGCGTCATGGGTAGATATTACTCACGAAGTTCTGGATTTGGAGAAGTCTGTCAGTACGAGTGCATTCAACCTGGACCAGGCGATGACATACCGTTTACGAACTGCTGCTCATCTGAGTTGGCGCCGATCCCAAGGGCATAGGTGAGAAGATCGCGTTTATTCCAGCTCACCTAAGTATGCCGCAACAATGTTGGTATTAGTGCGCTCGGTCGGTGACGTATAACGAGAATACCCACTGGATCAGTGCCGTACTCGCGGCCGACGACGCTCTCGAGTACTTGGGTGATTGAGGGTGCAATGTTGGATGCCATTTGATGTGATGTGTGGAGGACAGGAACTTGTGATACGACGGCCTATGGCACGCGGGTGAGTGCTTTTAAGGCGTGCATGCGTGCGTGCAAGATCCATACTCCAGGGCGTCCGTGCGGCATCGATAGCCAGGGCAATCCAACCGCGGGGCGGGGTTCCGACCTCGGAGACCAATGCTAAGAAGGCACTGGCAGGAAGGTTCTCCGTCCAAGGAGCCGTGCACGTGCATACACGGCGAACTGGACAAACGGCGGTCCAGAGTTGCGGGGACATGAGAGCCGGGATGCCGGCAGGGGTCGGTGGCGAGAGGAAATCACGTTTGAAGCTTGTCTGGGAGCTTGAGCTTGGTCACCTCAATGGCCTCATGCGCATGCTCCAGGTTCGTTCTGCTTGCCTGTTGCGTTTTCCATCATGACCGTTAGTATCGCGGTGGATTCACATTTATGTCGACTGAGCACGATGCAGTCCATAAATCACACCGGTCTCTCGAACCCTAGCCCTACGCCCGTACCACGTCGTAGCAGCGCAGCTGCTAATATTCTCCAACCAGCTCCGAGTCCTCGATCAATCTACGGAACTCATTCCTACTCCCCCGGAAGCTCGGGCTAGTTCGAGTTCCAAAGCTCCGCCTTAAGCTCGTGCACCCAGGGAGAGAGAGCAGTGCGCTTCCACTTCCGACGCGGGCTGTCTCTGGGTGCCATTTGTTCGGATTTCTCGAAGATGCTCGAGACAGTCTAATTGCTTCCTCTGCTGCTCCCTACCACCCGACTCGGACACCACTTCCTCTTATAACATTTCATGGCCGGATCATGTCCCTGGATCTCTCAGACCAGTTTCATCGGCCCC